TGACGTTTTTTTTTTTTTTTTTTTTTTTTTTTTTTTTTTGGTACTGGGGATTGAAGTCAGTTCCTTGTGCTTGCAAGGGAGGGAGCAGCACCACTGAGCTAAATCCTTAGCCCTCAGTATGACAGTTTTTTAAATAAGGAAAACATGAAGGAAAGTGCTCCGAAGAGGTTGTATTGATTTCTTTAGGCTATAGTTGTTGAAACATTAAATAACACAAACTCAGCAACACTTTATTATTTATTGATTTCTATTTTAAAATTTTAGCTTATTAGTTCTGGGATTTTGACTATGGTGTGTCATGGGAAGTTTCTTTTTTCATCATGGCTATTGGGGGCTCACTTGTATGTTATATTTTTTTATGTTACTTGGAAAGTTTTTAACTATTATATCACTGAACAGATTTTTTTTGGTACTGGGGATCAAACTTTGGGACCTTGTGCTTGTGAGGCAGGTGGCAAAACCACTGAGCTAAAGTCCTGGCCCTACTAAACAGATTTTTAAAAAGCTATTTGTGATATCTCCCGATTTTCCACTAATTACAACTAATTTTAGGTTAGTCTTGTTTGCATCCTCTACCAGCTATTGGGTCCATCTTCCATATTTTGTTTTTGTTTTTAAGACATCTCTCATTAATTGGTAAATGAAAGCCCTGTCTTCTAGTTCTTAGGCTCTGTCCTCACATCAGTCACTTCTGTTGCCCACACTTTCAAAAATTTTCAATCTCCCGAATTTCTATTTGGCCCCTTCTTATGGACTCTTAATTCTTTTCTATGCTAGTCATGCATGCTTTGCATCATTTTGCTTAGCTTTTCTTTTTATTAGTTTTAGATTCATTGATGATTTTAATTGGCCCAATATCTTAGTACTTATATGTCTTGTGAGTTTGCCAAAAGCATTATTGAACTGTTTTGTTGTCTGCCCTCATACTTTTGAATAATTCACAAGCATGATGCTTTTGGTTTTCTTCCATTTGATGTCTCATGAATCAGCTTTGGTGTAATTAGAAGTTTTGGGGGGAATTTTGTTGGCTTGTCTTCTCATGTTTCTCTCTCTGTGTGTGTGTGTGTGTGTTGTGTTGAGGTTTGTGGATTTACTGTACAAGAAAGTTTTATTTATACTATGGGGACCTGTTTAGTTAATGTCTACTTTTCAGTGGAGCCCTCTGGGTGTGGCTACCTATTGGTCTTGGCTTCTACTCCAGGATCCAAACTCCTTTATTTACTTGAAAAGGAAGGTCATGATGCATAATATCTAGTTCGCCTGGAATGGGATGTGGTATTGTTAGTGACCCCAAGGCAATCCAGACATTGTCATCAATTTGTATAGATATGGTGCTAACCAAACAAGGAATACATGATAACTTTTTAACTGCATCCTCTCAATATTTTATGACAAATGTCCTTAGTAGCAAGCAAGATCAACTCTTCGCCAATAGTAAAGGATCTTGTAGATTTAGCAACGTTGTTCTTTGAATTTCATTGAAGATACCTGAGGATTATTAGTGTTATTACTTCCCTGAAGGTCTTGTAGAATTTAGTGATGAATCGGGCCCTGGGCTTTTCCTAATTGGTAAGTTTTTGTTTTTGTTTTTATTATTCCCTGAATTTTCACTGCTTGTTATTAGATTTTTGTTAAGATTTTGGGTTTTTTTTTTTGTTTCTTGATTTAATTCTGGTAATTCATGTGGTTATACAAAATAACTGGGTGAAGTAGAGTTTCAAAAATTGCTTCCGTTCCTCATGTTTCTCTTTTCACTTTCTTCTCTTCAAATGCTATTTCAATAACGTGATGTATCTAGTTGTTCACAACTCAAATTGAACTGGATGAACTGATGGTCTTACCATGTTTTCACCTGGAAGGCCATTAAAGACCATATGAGTAAATGAAGATTTGAACACATTGTCTATATTCATAAAGTTTCTTTAAAAATTTTTTTATTAGTTCATGTTTGCAGTACATAATGATTACATTTATTATGCAGAGTCAGTAATACACATAATACATCTTAATACCTTTCTTTTTCATCCCCCCAGCACTTCCCTCCCACCCTGCTCCTACCTGCTAAAATTCTACTTTCATCATTTTCCCCCTTTCTTTTTTTCCCTCATCTGCTTTCCCTTCCCCTTCCTTGATCTTTTTTTTTTTTTTTTTTTTTTTTTTTTTTGGTACCAGGGATTGAACTCAGGCCCTCTTGCTTACAAGGCAGGCGGCAGAACCACTGAGCTAAATCCCCAGCCCTCTCCTCCTTTAATCTTGATACTCCATCTACTTGAAAAAGATTTCCTCACTTCCTATTTATCTGTCTTCTATTCTATTCTTTAGAATAATGTTTCTTTCAGTGTGAGTTCTTTTATGCCTTAGGAGGCCACTGGGGTAAGAATAAGTCCTACTACATTGTTTACATTGATAGGGCTTCTGTTTATTGTGAGCTCTTTCATGTATGTGGAGAGAAGCAGAAGAAGTGAATGCCTTTCCACACTGTCCACATTCATATGGTTTCTGCTTAGTGTGAGTTCTTTCATGTATGTGGAGAGCAGTAGAAGTAATGAATGCCTTTTCACATTGTTTACATTCATAGGGTTTCTGTTTGCTGTGAATTCTTTCATGCATATGGAGGGCACTGCAAAAAGCAAAGGCCTTACCACATTGTTTACATTCATAGGGTTTCTCTCCAGTGTGACTTCTTATATGCATTCGGAGGTAACTGGGAGAAGTGAAGGTCTTACCACATTGTTCACATTCATAGGGTTTCTGCCCAGTGTGATTTCTTTCATGCCTTTGGCAGTTACCAGAAGAAGAAAAGGTTTTACCACAGTGTTTACATTCATAGGGTTTTTCTCCAGTGTGAGTTCTTAAATGCCTCCGAAGGGCACTGGAAAAACTAAAGGGCTTATCACAGTGTTTACATTTATACAGTTTCTCTCCAGTGTGTGTACTTTGATGCTCTCGACGGTCATGTGAAGACCTGAAAGACTTCCCACAATCCTTACACTTATAAGGTCGATTTCCAGTGTGCATTCTCATATGCAGTTGAAGCTTCCGAACATAAACAGAGGAATACCCACATTCCTGGCATTTGTAAACTTCATCTCCACTATGAATTGTTTTATGTAATTGAAAGTTACTGAAATGTTTAAAGTCTTTACCACATTCTGTGCATTTATAAGGCTTTTCTATTTTGTGACTCTTTTTTTTATGTGCCAAATGTGTGGAAACACTGGAAGATTTACCACACTGATTATATTCACCAGGTTGTTCTCCAGTATGACTCTTTTCATGTTGTTTAAATGCTGAATTGTACAAAAAAGCTGTTCCACAGTGTTTACACCTGTAACGTTTCTTTCCACTGTGCATATTCATGTGTATCTTAAATGTTATGTGATAAAGAAAAGATTTCTCACATTCTTTACATTTATAAGGTTTTTGTGTAGAATGCAGACTCAAGTGTCTCTGAAAGCTTTCAGAAGTAAAGAAGGCTTTGTTACATCCTTTATATTCATAGTGTTTCTCTCTATGACCTCCTTCATGTGTCAGAAAAGAACTTTGAAATCTGAAGACTCTGCCACACTGTTTACATTCATAGTGCATATCTTCAGTATGAAATTGTTCATATTTCTGAAGCCACTTGTGATAACTGAATGCTTTACCACACAGCTTACATTTATATGGCTTCTCTCCATATTTCTCACTTGCATGTGGTCTATGCCTAACATGAGAACTGGGCTGCTCACTAATGAGTGTTGGATGCATGAGGCCTTTTCCACACAAGCTGCCTTTACATGGTACTACACAGATATAAGTTTCCTTCGTAAGACTGAGATTTGGAATTGGGATGACATTTTCTCCACACTGATGATCTTTATTCTCAAAAAGTTTCTCCACCATAAGATTTCTGTAAGAATGAGTAGCACATTTTCAATGCTTTCAAGAAATAATTTCATATTTCAACAGGTACTAGAATTAGTTTTTAAATACTTTCAGAGAATGTATTCTTCTCTGTTGGAAATCTTTGAAAGTGAATGTATGTAATATTCTAAAAAGTACTTAACCATGACTAATATCAAAACAGTAATATTAGTAGGCACAATGGCTCCTTGTTGTAACCTCAGCCACTCAAATCCAGAGGCAAGAGGGTCTCAATTTCAAGGCTTAGAAAGGTCAAATTTCAATATTTAAAACAGAACTCAGGGTAACTGTGTCATATACCTGTAATCCCACCACTTCCAGGACAGAGCCATGAGATCAGAAGTTTCATGGTAGCTTACAGCATGTTCAAGCCCAACCTGGAGTATATAGTGAGATTCTGTCTCAAAAAAACAAAAACTGAGTGGGACTGGGAGAAATAGCTTAGTGAATTGCTGGGGTCAATCCTCTGTATCAAAAATCATACATACATATATATATATACATATACATACACACATGCATTTGTGTAACAGCATTTGGAACATGAATGACCTTAATATATAAATATTTGTTTATGCCGGGCATGGTGGTGCATGTCTGTAATCCCAGCACTCAGGAGGCTGAGGCAGGAGGATTGCTGTGAATTTAAGACCAGCCTGGACTACATAGCGAGTTCCAGGTCAGTCTCAACTATGTAGTGAGACCCTGTCTCAAAAAAACAAAAACAAAACAACCAAATAAATATTTGTTTATGAAAATTTTCTGACATGTAAAGTCCATGTGGGCTTACTGTTTTTCCTTGCCTTTTTAAAAAAGTGATCACAGAAAAATTCTGACAGTCACTATGTACTATTGTAAGTGCAGCTCACCTTGCATTTCTCCCTTGCTTTGTATCCTCATTTTCATTGCTCCTGTCTTTCCATTTTCCTCCTAAAATTCATATCCACAAAAATCATAAGTTAGAAATTATAGCTTTGACTCATTGATATATTGTCCAAAATTATAGTTTTTCCACTTTTTTCATAAAAGAAACACTTATTCTCTAGTTCACTGAATGAAGGAATGATATCATCCTTACCCACTGCAGCAACGTTCCTTATGGTTTCCCTCATCACATCTCTGTAGAGTCTCTTCTGTGAAGAATCCAGCAGAGCCCACTCTTCCAAGGTGAACTTCATAGCCACATCCTCAAAGTCCACTGAGTGCTAAGACATTCCATAAATGGGCACAAGAAGATGGTCAGACTGACAGCATTGGAACTGTAACCTCAATACTGAAGAAGTTTCCCACACAACTCTGGTCTCCAAAGATTTACTAACTCACTTGGTGGAAAGAACACCAAGTCTGACTTTGTCATAAAATTTAGCAGTAAAGAACACACAGAAATGACTTCTGCATCTTTACCTCTACATGTCATATTGTTGTCTAATAGTAGATCTCAATTCATCTTGAAGAAATAAAAATGATATTCAAAAAGAGACTAAATCAGTGCAACCATGTCTATATAAGACTGTCATTTTTCACTTTGTTATGTACTCTTATCACTTCATGTTTTATGATACAAAGCTGGGGGTTTAGCTCAGTGGCACCATACCTGGCTCGCAAGTGCAAGGTCCTAAGTTTGATCCCCAGTAGTTTAAAAAAAAGAAAATTACCATTTTATGATACACAGAGTCAAAGGTAGATGTGATTTTAAGGAATAAATGCACCTTTAAAACTATTCCCATCTCCAAACAGGAGGCCTGGGGAATAACAATTTGTAATAAAAACTGTTTTGTTTTTTTTTTGGTAAGTATTCCATGGCATGCAGAGATGGGTAAAATGGGCCATTTTAAAATTCCCAGCTACTTGTATGGATAGAGCAGCATGGTTGCACACTTCAGGCCAGCAAGGGCAATACAAGAAAACCCTGCTGGGTGCAGTGCTGTATGCCTATAACCCTAGTACTTTGGATGCTGAAGCACAGGATTACACCAATTTCCAGCCTGGGCTACATGGTGAGTTCAAGGCCAGCCTGAACTACAAGTGAGACCTTGTCTCAAAAAAAAAACCACAAAAAACCAAACAACAAATCAAATCAAATCAAGCAAACAAACCAATGAACACAAAACCAAGAAAATCCCATCTATGACTGGGGATGTGTTTCAGTGGTAGAGTGCTATAGCAACCATGTGTGTGTGGCCCTGGGTTAAATCTCTAGAAACACAAAGAAAGTCTGAAATGGAGCCAAGGGAATAAAAATACTCATTTGGGATGTCTGTTGCAGTTTAGTGATAGAGAATCTGTTTGGCATATGGCAGGACTAAGGTTCAATCCCTGAATATGTGTTAATATTTATTTATTTGTGGTACTAGAGATGGAATCCATAGACTCCTACATGCTACACAAGCATTCTATTACTGAGCAACACACCAGTGTTTTAACTAAAGGTCTTGTGACACAGCACTGTCTGGCCCTGATGTAGTGATCCTCCTCCCTATGCTTTATGAGTAGATGGAATTGCCACTCCACCTGGCTGGTTTCCATAAATTACCACTATGTCAGTAGGATATCTTTTTAGGAACAGTAAAATACAGTACTAGAATATTATGCTACTGTCGGGTGTGGTGGTGCACACCTGTAATCCCAGCACTCGGGAGGCTGAGGCAGGAGGATTGCTGTGAGTTCGAGAACAACCTGGGCTATATAGCGAGTTCCAAGTCAGTCTCAACTACATAGTGAGACCCTTTTTAAAAAGACTAAAAAAAAAAAAAAATATTATGCTACTTATTTCTACATCTTTCAGACAGTAAATGTCTTTATGGAAGCCCAGAAACGACAAAAGAGATGAAAGCAGTTTCCCTCTGGCACTTACAGGTATAATAAAAAACTATTTATACTACACCCAACAAAATAATTCTAAATTCTCACATGAAAGACCTGAGATGCATGCTTCAGTTTCTTTTTGAAACTACATCATGTCCAATATTCAAGAAAAACTTATGCAACTTGCTATAAGACTTAAAAAATAGTTTGAAACTCGGTGTGGCAACACACACCTGTCATCCAGCAATGGGGAGGCCGAGGCAGGTGATTGCCATAAATTTTGAGGCCAGCCTGGGTTATACAATAAGCTCAAGGTCAGCCAAAACTGCATAGCAAGACACTGTCTCAACCTTCCTACTTTCCACCCCAAACCCAAAGAAGACCCATCACTGTTTAAAGTCCGGCATACTGGCACATGCTGTAATATCAGGACTTAAGGAAGCTGACAGAAGAAGGATCACAACTTCAAATTCAGCCTGGGAAACTTATCAAGATCATGTCATAAGATTACAAAAATAAAATAGCTAGGGATGTAGGTCAGTGGCGGGGAACTAGATCCTGGAAAAATTATACATGCAACATGAACAGAGAAGAGAAGCACCAGAACCAGATTAGATACAGAAGAGATGTTGGAGTCATCACACAAGTTACAGCAAACTGGACAAAATAAATATGTTGAAGTATTTAAAAGAGACATTTTAAATATTCATGAACAGATAGATGATATCAAATCAAGATAAGGATCCAATAAATCAATGTAATTCTGTGAAGAAAAACATTGCTGATTGTGAGGAAAAACAGGGTATCTAAGACGTGAGAAAATGAAAATAGAACTAATAATTCTTGGAATGCAGAGAAAGAAGTACAGAGAAGTGTATCAATAATCTCAGGATCTACCTTAAAAGCAGGAGCACATTAAACCCAGTGTGAATTTAAGAAAGACAAACACTGAGAAGGAATGGAGGATTCAATTAGAAAAACAACCTAATTAAAAGCTAATCTTGTGAAAAGATAAATGGAGACCAATGTCTGCAGAAGATAACTTAAGGCAAAGAAGAGCAGAGGCAGATTCCATGGTAACAATCTATTGTCCCAGCTATTTAAAAGGTTGAGGAAGGAAGATTACATGAGTCCAAGGTTTTAAGACCGGCCAGGGGCAACTTAGAGATAAAGTCTCAAAAAAGTAATCCTCTCTCTCTCTCTCCAGACAGGGTCTCACTATTTATTTATTTATTTATTATTATTATTTATTTTTGGTACCGGGGATTGAACTCGGGTCCTTGTGCTTACAAGGCAGGCCACTGAACCGCTGAGCTAAATCCCCGGCCCAGGGTCTCACTATTTAGATAAGGGTAGTCTTAAACTCATATATGCAAGGGTGGCCTTATCCTCATCCCAACCCCCCTGCCTCAGGCTCCGTGCTGAGATCGCAGGCATGCCACACCATGCCAAGCTCAGGAGGACTGTCTGTCAACTTGACTGACTTTGGGATCCACCTAGGTATTGGTGGAATATACTAGCATGTGTATCATGGAAATGTGGAACCAAGTATGCCTCTTCTCTACTCCTTACTATTGCACACTGTTCCTCTCTGCTTGCATAGCCCATGAACAGCTTTGTTATGTCACTACCTTCTGCTATATGTTCCTGCCTTGCAGTTAACCACAGGCTGAATCTCAGGAAATCATGAACAAATTTAAATCTCTCCTCCTTTAAGTTGTGGATTTTGGGTATTATGTGCCAGCAATGAGCAAGCTGATCAACAGAGGGGGTTTGTGAAGCAGGGGCAACTGAACTGTAGGGACTCTTCATACTAAGGAACTGCTCTACCGCTAAGCTTCACTCCCAGCCCCATATTGGTACTGAGTACAGTAATGGGAATCAAACCCAGAGCCTTTACACCGGAAAACTCTAACCCTTTGTGAGTCAAGTTCTTACTAGGTTCATAAATTACCCCATTAGGCTCAAACTTTCAATTCTCCTGCCTCAGCCTCCAAGAGTGCTCGATTTCTAGGCATGGGCCACTACAGGAGGCTCCTGGTTATTCTTATACAAAGCAAGACGGTGGTATCTTGATTTATGAACTTAGTTCTTTCTTTGATTCTGGTCAGAAACTGAACTGATCTTGAATGAATCAAATTTCTCCATAAAGTCAACCTTGAAACTAACCACTGAATTTGATTCAAGTCATGACCAATTCTCTTTTATCTTCTATTTCTCAGTTTTTTTCTGATACCTTTGTCTAATCTTATGTCCTTCTACTCCCTGCCTTCCTCACTTTTCTCTCCTGCTTCTCACATAGTTTAAATTTTCCTCATGCATTCCATGTCCTCCAAACTTTAATAGTATGACAAAGCTTTACTGATCTTTATATAGTTAATGCTAGAAAATTACTACGGAATTCATTTCTGTCATTAGTGGAGATACAGCTGTCATATTTAGTATACAGCAAATATATAGTAACTGAAAGTCAGTACCTGGGTTATCTTATGTTTACACCATAATTTTGGGTTTATTCTGCAGGGTTAAGGTTGGTACATACTTGACTGTTAAGACATGTTAATATCCAGTTTGTCTTAAGTTATCTGGTTTGTTTGCTATTAGCAGGGTCATATAATTTGTTGCTATTAATGAGTTTCTTTTGTACACCAACGCCAACACCACGTTAACAATAATCAGGTTACATTCCTAGAGAACTTGTTGCCAGGCCAATTACTCTGCATTCTCCCCTCCCAAATTAACTGAAAAGGTGGAATCTGGGGGTTATGTCAAAGGACTACAGTTAGCTATGCTCACTGTACACCAGTGAAAAGCAACTAAGGGATCTCTATACTACAAAGTCTACATTAGAAGCACAAACAAGTGATACAAACAAACCAATTGAAACATAAGAAGACAAGGGAATAGAGTGGCTCCTGAAACTCCCAGAAGTCAATGAGGGACACTGTGGGAGAGAAAAGCATAAGCTGTACATCTGAATTACTTGAAAGGATAAGAAGAGAGGCTAGAAAATTGATCAGAGGTACTCAGTGGAATCACAGAAGATATAAATAAACAGTGTAAGTAATAAGCAAAAAGATGCAGCAGGTCTTTTGCTTCCTTCATTGGACTGATTCCTAGATATTTCATTTTTTTGAATGCTATTGTGAAAGAAATTGTTTCCCTAATCTCTCTCTCAGTGAGTCTGTTATTTGTGTACAAGAGGCTATTGATTTTTGAGTGCTGACCCTGTATCCTGCTGCTCTACTGAATCTGTCAATTAAGTGAAAAACAGGACACACATATGTAAATACCAAATAGTTTCCTTGGTGTGAGAAATTAAAAGTGCAAATAAGGATCAAGATGTATAATTGATAATGTGAAATAGGTAGAAAAGGTCTAAATGAGGTAGGGGAAGTAG